ACCGAGCGAAACGGATCTGAAAAAGATGTTAATGATCTAGCTGACCTTTTCAGCAGATATTTGAATTTCAAAGTTTGTACCATCATAGACAAACCAAGAAATGAACTTTTGGGAGATCTGCGAAAAACTGCTGAAAACTCTGCGTATAAAGATTACGACTGTCTGGCATTGTGCATCATGAGTCATGGAAAAGACGACAAATTCTACGCATACGATGGAAAACCAATCAAAGTCTCAGCTGTTTGTAACATGTTCTCAAACTCGAAGTGTGAGGTTTTTCGCAACAAACCAAAACTATTTTTCGTACAAGCATGTCGTGGCAAGAGGGGAGGTGGGTTCTTGGACGTAGCCGATGGAGCTACGGGCAATGAAGAAGGATCATCAGCTCAGGTTCCACCTACAGAGAGCAAAGATCTTGATATGGTAGACATGCTCATCGGCTACTCTAGTTTTGACGGTTACAAATCATACCGTGTGGAAGAAGGAAGCTATTTCATCCAAAGCTTGGTTTCTGTTTTCAGAAAATATGCAGACAAGGAGGATATTATGCGCATGATGACTAGAGTAAACGACGAAGTATACAGGCGCGCGAATGAGTCATCTTACGGGAGAACACAAGTACCAACTCCTATACCAACTCTCCGCAAATTACTCTATTTCTGGCCTGGGATCAATTTTGGCGAAGGACCTTAAAACACAGTGTACAGTGTGTGCACACACTATAGAAAGGTTGTACAACAGGTTTCATCAAAAGATCCAATTGACGTCAGTGAGTTTGTTTGGTGTCAAGAAAGTTTTTTATTTCATTGCCAACTACGTTAAACATTAAAAAAAATCAAAAACAAACAAACAAACAAACAAAAGCAAAACACAACATTACTCAGTTTTGATGAGGAACACTAAAACGGAATAGATTAAAAAAATCGCTTGTTTGATTCACAGTATCTGGTTTATCATAAGCTATGATAGATGCTATCAGAGATTAAATGACAGCCAGTTTTTTAAATATCGGGTGTTTTGCCAAGCGTTTCCTCGGTAATAGGCTAACAGCATGTTAAAATGTAAACATTTGTGTGCTATAACTACACAAAAAAGAAATAGTTGTAAATTCTTTTGAAATATTTTATTTTCCATCAAGTTGGTCTGGGGAAAAAAATAATTTTTTTATAGACCAAAACCACGTACTTGATTGGGGAAAATTTATAATCTCTCAAATACGGTAAACCAATCCCATGTATACTAGATTATTGCCTATCACTTCATTTACAGTATCATGTAAAAACCTATATTTCATAAGCTTTTTCTTAGATAGCAGTTTGCATTGCATTGTGGTCTAGATTCAGTACAAACATCTTTTGTACAAATGTCCAAATATGGCATTGTTTGTGCTGAAGCTACACCACTGCGCGATGATTGTATATATTAGAAAAGGTCTATTCAGAGTTCTGTTTCTGTTATCAGACATTCATGTTAAGGGTGATAAGTGTCAAAACTCTATATAAAAAGGTTTTTGTTTTATATCATATTGACCACCCCATTTTAAAATACGTATTTTGCTTGCCTTATGGTCACGTGACCACCGGAAATCGACTAAACCATGCTTAAAATATTTTTGACACCAAATTATCATTTATGCCTCAAAACCAAAGATTGTGAGTTTAGTTTAGTTCAATAATTTTTTTTTTAGAATATCGTGGCAAAATACCCAGCCTTAACATGCTTGAAATATGCAGATACAGACCATGTTGAGGAAATAGCGACAAGAGTTAATGAAGTTAGGGTTTAGACAAGAGACATCGTAACCGAACATAATTCCCATTAGGATCGAATTTCTACTAAGTGAATCTTTTGATAAATCCCTTCTGTTTTTGGCATGTTTTGATTGTAGTTTTGTTCGTAAATTATGCTCGAAGTCTTGATTTGAGATGATCGATTTCCTGCATAATCGAATTCACGAACTATTTTTAGTAATGTTTAATGTATGAAAGTCTTTTCAATTATAGAGTGTTGTTAGGACGCTACACTGTGAATATCGATCTGTTATTGTTACTACAACCAGTTTTTTAAATATCGGGTGTTTTGCCAAGCGTTTCCTCGATAATAGGCTAACAGCACTGTTAAAATGTAAACATTTGTGTGCTATAACTACACAAAAAAGAAATAGTTGTAAATTCTGTTAAAATATTTTATTTTCCACCAAGCTGTTCCTGGGAAAAAAATATTTTTTTTATAGACCAAAACCACGTACTTGATTGGGGAAAATTTATAATCTCTCAAATACGGTAAACCAATCCCATGTATACTAGATTATTGCCTATCACTTCATTTATACAGTATCATGTAAAAACCTATATTTCATAAGCTTTTTCTTAGATAGCAGTTTGCATTGCATTGTGGTCTAGATTCAGTACAAACATCTTTTGTACAAATGTCCAAATATGGCATTGTTTGTGCTGAAGCTACACCACTGCGCGATGATTGTATATATTAGAAAAGGTCTATTCAGAGTTCTGTTTCTGTTATCAGACATTCATGTTAAGGGTGATAAGTGTCAAAACTCTATATAAAAAGGTTTTTGTTTTATATCATATTGACCACCCCATTTTAAAATACGTATTTTGCTTGCCTTATGGTCACGTGACCACCGGAAATCGACTAAACCATGCTTAAAATATTTTTGACACCAAATTATCATTTATGCCTCAAAACCAAAGATTGTGAGTTTAGTTTAGTTCAATAATTTTTTTTTTAGAATATCGTGGCAAAATACCCAGCCTTAACATGCTTGAAATATGCAGATACAGACCATGTTGAGGAAATAGCGACAAGAGTTAATGAAGTTAGGGTTTAGACAAGAGACATCGTAACCGAACATAATTCCCATTAGGATCGAATTTCTACTAAGTGAATCTTTTGATAAATCCCTTCTGTTTTTGGCATGTTTTGATTGTAGTTTTGTTCGTAAATTATGCTCGAAGTCTTGATTTGAGATGATCGATTTCCTGCATAATCGAATTCACGAACTATTTTTAGTAATGTTTAATGTATGAAAGTCTTTTCAATTATAGAGTGTTGTTAGGACGCTACACTGTGAATATCGATCTGTTATTGTTACTACAACCAGTTTTTTAAATATCGGGTGTTTTGCCAAGCGTTTCCTCGATAATAGGCTAACAGCACTGTTAAAATGTAAACATTTGTGTGCTATAACTACACAAAAAAGAAATAGTTGTAAATTCTGTTAAAATATTTTATTTTCCACCAAGCTGTTCCTGGGAAAAAAATATTTTTTTTATAGACCAAAACCACGTACTTGATTGGGGAAAATTTATAATCTCTCAAATACGGTAAACCAATCCCATGTATACTAGATTATTGCCT